ACTTTTAAAGCAACATAAACTAAATGGGGGGTGGGAGTGTTTTTACTTCAGAATAAGTATGTCAACTTACCATGCTATACCACTGTGGCTATATCAGTATAAATATACCCACCTGGTATTGTTCCCGCTAATTTTTTTTCATCCATGTGGAATAAATGTTGTGATGTGCACCAAGGCATGTGCAAATGTGCACCACCAGTGAAAACACATGCTGCCAGCTCTGGGTGCTGTGGGCACTTTGCTAATCATCTGGGCGGCATTTGAATCTCTCTGGATGGCTGTCTCTGAAAACAGTCTCTTTATCTTGGGAGATTGTCTAACTCAATGGTCTTGACTACAAGATTTCTCTCAAATTCTCTCATTGTTGTCCTAATTCCGGTGAGGATCTATATGTACTGCCTTTTATGGAGTGTGATGCTGGCATACCAGGTGACAGAACATGTCATCGTCCCCATGCTTCAACTGAACGCTTACTGAAATTAGTATGCTCACCTGTGTGTCACTATTGTTAAAATAGTGGAAGTTAAATCCTAGTGAGGAAAATAGAAAGAAACATAAACTCTAAGTGTAAAAATATAGTAAGAAAAAGCCAAAAAGGAGTTTGAAGAACAGCTAGCCAAAAATTCAAAAAGTAATAGCAAAAAGTTTAAGTATATCAGAAATAGGAAGCCTGCTAAACAACCAGAGGGGCCTGTGGATGATCGAGATGCCAAAGGAGTACTCAAAGATGATAAGGTCATTGCGGAGAAATTAAATGAATTCTTTGCTTCGGTCTTCCTGGTTGAGGATGTTAGGGAGATTCCCAAACCTGAGCCATTCTTTTTAGGTGACAAATTTGAGGCATTGTACCAGATTGAGGTGTCATTAGAGCAGGTTTTGGAACAAACTGAGAAAATCAACAATAACAAGTTACCGGGACCAGATGGCATTCACCCAAGAGTTCGGAAAGAACGCAAATGTGAAATTGTGGAACTATTAACTGTGGTTTGTAACCTATCCTTTAAATCAGCTTCCGTAGCTATCTTCCCTGAGGAACGATCTGGCCTGTGGGCTGGTATTTGCCCACCAATGGGTTACACTGTTACCTAATAAGTACCAGTATATTTCTCTATGTAAAACAGCCCTCCTCAGAGTCTAGTACGGAGCAAAAGTGATCAAAGGCCTTGACATTTTTCAGCTGGAATTTTCCATTGCCCCAGGTCATCCTAGGTAACAAGGCTGGAGGTAGATGAGTGTATAATTGTCATTACGAGGAAGATAATACTGACTATAACATATAAAGCAGGCTATAAAACAGACAGTGTTGGGGAGATAGGTTAACTTGTCCCCAAGCTTCAACAGCTGCAGTTGCAGATTGCAGCAGCAGCTTTTGCTGACAACCGAGTTATGTAGCAGCTAGCGTGAGTACACCTAGAAAGTCCATAATCAAGCATAGTACTGTGGATGTTACTACACAGAGGTTTTCCTCACGTTCTCCTGCCACCATTTCCTCTTGGTGGAAATAATGGCTTACTGACTATCAGCCAGAAAGGAGAAAGTATTTTGTGCTCTTTAATGTTGCACTCTAGTCCATCTGCTCTTGATGAGCCTTCCGTGTGAGCGCCGGGGAGATGAGCATGTCACACTAGTTTATGTCTCTCTCCTTCTAGCGATTTAAATAATTACAGAGACTTACAGTGCAAACACTCAGATCTTGCCTTACTAGAAAATTTACCTAGTACTGCTCAGGTCCTTAACTCAAATACGTTTTGATTTCAGTCTTTGCTCTGGGGTGGGGCTGGGCCTGGGGTTCAGTATGCAGCTTTCCCTGACGAGAGACGACTACCCCAGCCCTCTCACCACAGCAGCTTGGGGCTGGATGAGAAGTAGGAATGTTAGAAATTGTTTATTTTAGTATTCGTGTAGCTGCAACAATTCTTAGCCGATACACGGTTACTAAAATGCTCCCCCTGGGGGCAGGTCCAGCAGCCAGTGCGCTTCCAGCCCCAGGGAGCCCTGTGCCACCCCAGGCTGCTGCCTCTATGTACTAAATACTAAAATAAACAATTTCTAACATGCCCACTTCTCTGTATCAGAGGCAGTAGGGTGGCAGGCGGGAGCTGGTCCACATGGGGAGCTGGTTTAAAATCCTCCCTGTGCCACCTCTAGCCTGGGGGAGGGCCAGGACAATCCCCCGTCCAGCCCAGATCCTGTCTCTGCTGGGGATGTTAGATATTGTGTAACTGAATAGTTGTGCAGGAAATCTTAGTGGTTCCACGACTATTTGTTGGTCCCTGGAGGTGGGGCTGGCAGCCAGTGTGCTGCAGCTCCACTCCCAATGAGCCCCCGTCACCCCACACTGCTCCCTTTGTATCAGAGGCAGAAGCACGGGGTGGCAGGTGGAAGCTGGTCGACGAGGGGAGCTAGTTTAAAAACCAGCTCCTCGTGCATACTGGATGCCTGCTGCCCCATGCTGTTGCCTGTGATACAGAGACAGCAGTGTGGGGAGGCAGGCAGCCGGTCTGTGCAGGGAGCTGGTTTTTAGATCGGCTCTCACCTGGCACCCCTCGCTGCTGCCTCTGATAGAAAGGCAGAGTCACCTCCTGGGGACTCTAGAATATAGCCCCTTCCCGCAGGGACAAACTGCAGTCTGAATTGGCCATTTATCATTGGCAAAGGGGGTTGGATTTGCTGCCTATTCCTGCTCTAGCTGCTCTACAGCTCCTAGTACTTCCCTGGGCCTCTGTCACTGGGCCTCAGCCTGGGGTTTATTCAGGCCCAAGTTCCCCTGGATCACCTGTCTTTTCCCAGCATTGCTCTGTTCAAGGTATCTCTGCTAGTAGGCAGATAGATCCTTCTTCCTCCGGAGCTGGCAGGAGATTGAGATCCTCCTGTCCAGGATCCCTTCGTACAGGGCCCAGCCGAGCCCTGATCGACTACTTTCAGCCTCTTTCTGTTTGTTACAGGCCTCTCCTAGAGCTGTTTTTGCCTCTTATAACATGGAATGAGGGCAGCCTTCACCTTACTGCGCCCCAGGTCCCTTTCTGCGCTAGTCATTCCTAGACAGTCATTTCACATTTTGTATGTGTGCAACAGATTATTCCTTCCTAACTGGCATGATCTGCATTTGTCCATATTGAATTTCATCCTGTTTACCTACAACCTATTTCTCTATTTTGTCCAGATCATTTTGAATTAAAATCTTATTCTCCAAAGTGCTTGCAACACCTCTCAGTTATGTATCATCTGCAGATTTTGTAAGTGTACTTTCTATGCCATTATCTAATTCGTTGATGAAGATACTGGAACAGTCCCAAGACTGACCCCTGCAGAACCCCATTCATTATGCCCTTCCAGCATGACTGTGAATTATTGATAACTACTCCCTGGGAACAGTTATCCAACCAGTTATGCACCCACCTGCCAATAGCCCCCTCTATGTTGTATTTCCCTAGTTTTTTAATGAGAAGGTCATGCAATACTGTATCCAATGCCTTACTAAAGTCTAGATAGACTACATCTACTCCTTCCCTGTTATCCAGAAGGCTTCTTAGCCTCAATTGGAGGATTGTGTCCAGTTCTGGGCACTACATTTCAAGAAAGAGGAGAAATTGGAGAAGGTCCAAAGAAGAGCAACAAAAATGACGAAAGATCTAGAAAACATGAGCTATAAGGGGAGGCTGAAGGAATTGGGCTTTAGTCTGGAAAAGAGAAGATTGAGAGAGGACGTGATAGTGGTTTTCAGGTATGTAAAAGGGTGTTCCAGGGAGGAGGGGACAAAATTGTTCTCCTTGGCCTCTGATGATAGGACAAGAAGCAATGGACTTAAACTGCAGCAAGGGAGGTTTAGGTTGGACAAATATATTTAAGTAGGCCCATTACCCAATAAAGAGGGGAAAACAATAACAATATCCCGCGCTTCTTTAGCTTAATCCATTTTTTGAGGAATAATGTTAGTTCGAACCAAGGGGTTTCGTTCGAACTAACGTGTTCCGTTACCCAATAAAGAGGGGAAAACAATAACAATATCCCGCGCTTCTTTAGCTTAATCCATTTTTTGAGGAATAATGTTAGTTCGAACCAAGGGGTTTCGTTCGAACTAACGTGTTCCGGTGCGTACTTCCTGGTTCAAATCAGCTGTTGAGCGGAGTAATGCGCCAACGAGATCATGCTAATGAAGCGCAGGATATTTAAATCCCCACTTATTAGCAATTTTGGTCGCCTACATTTGCATCCCTAGCTCGAACTAGGGAGCAAGTGTAGACATACCCTAAGTAATTTTAACTTGTTCTTTTCCTATTTTAGCTTCTGAACCTACTCCATTTTCACTGGCATTTACCAGCAGCCTTCTTGGTGAAAACTGATGCAAATTAGTCATTAAGTGCGTCTGCCATTTCCACACTTTCTGTTATTGTTTTCCCCTCTTTACTGGGTAATGGGCCTACTTAAATATATTTGTAGAATGTTTTCCTGTTACTCTTTATGTCTCTAGCTAACTTGAGCTCATTTTGTGCTTTGGCCTTTCTAATTTTGCCCCTACATACATTGTATTATTCATCCTTTGTAATTTGACCTAGTTTTCTACTTTTTTTGTAAGACTCTCTTTTTTAAAATCTTTAGATAATTCAGGCTCTCCTGGTTAAGCTCTTGTAGGGAGCTTTATTTTTCCTGGCAGTCCTCTTTCTGAAAGCATACCACTTTTCTGTCTGTTTCGGTCATCTTCACTGGCCCAACTGCTGGTTGTTTATTTGCATATGCAAGGAACCAAATGACTAAGGCCCAGCCTCCTCATGTGAAGAACTGAAATGAGTATTTGGCTTGCATTGCACCTGTTGGTGACTGACCTTTCAGCAATGACTGGAAGTGGTTATGCAAATAGAAGGAGTAGGATGAACTCTTCTTGGTGCTAGGGCCTGATGTAAAACTCTTTGCCACCCAAGACCTCTTTCTATTGCCTACCTTAAAATAAAAGTTCTATAAATGGTAACTGTTTGTGTCTTCTCCTCTTTTTCTTTCATTAGCTGGAAGTGCATGTCGTAACAACGGAGAGGGCAAAACATTTCTACAACCCCCAGGAGATTCCTGTAACCCTCTACAGTGATACTGATGAATGGCAGGTCAGTATCTAACACCTACTCCAGCGGATTTTTTTCTACATGATTTCTGGGGACACCCAATTCCCATGTGGGCTTCACTTTTTATGTAGGATTTATTTATTCATGAAGTTGGCCTCATCTTCTAGAAGCGGCCAATAACTGATACTTTGGAGCAAGGCAAACCCTCTCCCTACAGAATGCACATGGCCAGTTGTGCAGATTCTGGATTTGGGGTAGTCAGTGGAGTCCTTCCTGGTCCTCTACAAGTGATCAGTTTTTCATCTTGAAGCATGAGGCTGATGAACTGACTTCAATCACTTTTACAAAGCCTTTCAATCCAAGTATGAACCATTAAAACCATGCAAATAATATGATGTTGCACTCTCCGGGTGGCAGTAGTGGTACAGTAGTGCTTAGTGGCCCTAGCCAATACCATGGCCTCATTGTAGCAGGCACTCAACGAACACATAACAGTAAACAGTCTCTGTCCGAGAGCTTATAGTCTAAATAAGCAGGAAAGACTAAGCGTGGAAGCAAGTAAAGATTGTTAATTGGTAGTGCCACAGTCTGGCCCAGTGCCCCTTTCTGGACAGACTCTAGCATGTTATGAGAGGACCCGGCCTTTGGATCCCATATGCTTCTATGACTGCTGGGTCTAAGAAGGGACTGGTCATTTCCTGTACCTGGGTGTCTCGTGCACACTCCCAGGTGCAGAACCTGTGTCGTCTGCTCTTGGTGCCTGGCGGTGGCTGCCTGTACCCTGAAATCGGTGCCCTCCCAAGCAGCCAGTTGATTAGGAAAGCTCTCCAGAGTCCAAACTAGGTGGGGTATCCCTGGTTTCTGAACTAACCTCAGAAACAGGCAGGCAAGCAAAGCATGCAGGTTTATCAAAGAATTTTCTCAGCCATAGTCCCTGTGCTCGTATATGGTATAGATCTTTGGGAACTTGCAAACAGTTCTCACATGCAGCCCCCAAGTTCAGTCTCACCTCTGCTGTGTGTCTGGGCTTTTGTCATCACCTTTACACTATGTAGCTGTTCCTGCTTTCTCTCTCCTCCAGCTCTTTCTTCTGGCATTTAGTGCTGACACCCTACAGAAAGCACGTTTCTGCTTAAATATAGTCTCAGATTGCTTTTATTAAGTGGCCAGCTGGATAAACTGCAGCTCTCCCAGCCTCGAGCTTCCTTGGGAAGGTCTTGGGTCCAGCCTGCCCCTAGTCAGCTTCTGTGTGGCGAGTCATTCAACCCTGACTGATCTCTTTGTCCTAACTTCTCAGACAGCCTTTCTACTACAGGATGCTGTAATCCACAGAGGAAGCTGTAATCTAACGGGAAGATTACAGTGAAGGTTACTTGTAAAACTGCAATTCTCAAAACAAGATAAAATTCACAGTTAGACATAAACATACCTTCAAGTGTCATGGACAGCACAGGGGTGATGGCTGTTCTTAGAGTGGCGTCCCAGTGGGTGCTCCACTGTAGGCACAGCAGCATCCCTACTCTGGGATTGAAGAGCTTTGGTGGCACTGCCTGTTGAATGAACTCCAAATTTTAACCAAAGACTGAACTAAATACGTACACTGAAGGCTGCAAAACTTGGGGATTGTCAAATGGAGTCATTTCGAATTCCCTCTGCTGACAATTCAACTTCAGGGACAAACATCCAATGATCTTAGAAAATTGTCTGCACTCTTATTATTGTGCCAGTGCAATGGTTCTGGCATGGTTCGAGGACATCTGTGAAATGGCCGGTTCACAGAGGTCTCCTAGGACTGTCACCCGATGTGCTGATCACACCACTGAGCCCAGCCTACCTGTCTTCTGGGATGCTCCACCACCCTGTTCTACGGGGTCAGAAGTTCTGGTCTCCCCCGGCCAAGGCACAGAGTTGGAGTAATAGTCTCCCAACTGAGTAGCACAGATGCTGAAACAGTTGAGCCATGGGAAGACTCAGCTATAGGGCTTTGACAGCACCCAAGAACACAGCCCCAAAGAGGACCAAACCTCCAAATAAATCAGTCTTATTCTGTATAAAAGTTTTGCATGGAGATTAAGCTCATAAGGATAGCCCACTTTATCAATGAAAGAGAGAGATGCACAGTAGTTGCTCCCGCCAAGATACTAATTATTTATACTGGGCTTGATAATAAACACGTATTTTTTAAGTATAAAAAGTAGGATGTAAATGATTGCAAGTGAAAATAGACAGATCAAAGTAAATTACTAAGACAAAACATGCAGCTAACTGTAATATACAGTAAAACTCCATTAGTCCGGCATCCAATGCTCCGGGACTCCTGATGGTCCGGCACCATCAGGAACCCGGAAGTGCTGGGGCAGCCGGACAGGCTTCCCCCATTCAGCTGCTGCTGAAACTGACCAGCAGCTGAATCGGGGAAGCCGGGAGCAGAGCAGCTGGGG